CGAACCGGCCGACTGGACGCATTTTGAACCGTCCGGTCCGGGCGGCCGGACGGGCTAAAAACCGTCCGGTTTCGCCGGCCGGACAGTTTTTTTTTTACTTTTTGAAAAAAAATGTCAGGGGCAAAATTGTCCAAGGGGGGGGAGGGGCGGTATGTAGTAATAGGGGGCGGTGAATAGCAATTGACTATTATATTCATGAATTAATTAGTTTATTTTATTTTGCGTGGTATGAAACCTATCATATCATGAAGACAAAATTGCAAAATAAACACTTGAAGAAAACTGATATTTGCCGGTGATATGAGACACCATATCAGGTCGTGTTCGACCTAAAGAGCGTTCCGACTAAATCGACTACATCGATAATAAGTCGGTCAGACAACAATGACGTTAGATGTCGTGGAAACACCAGGTCGATGGTGACCCTATGGATAATATAGCTCACCAAAAGGTCGAGCTAGGGTTCTCGACTAGCCTGATTGAAACTCGACCTGGAGGTCTATAGACCGATGTATGACCTAAGAGATAAGTTCACCTGTAAGATAACATAACACATATACCGCATAATATATAAGAAGGAATATAAATAAGATAAGACGAACACGTAGATATGACCATGTGGGCTAACAGAATTGAACAGTTTGGGAACCTTGACAGTACGAACGGGTAGCTCGGGCAGCCCAATCGGGCAGTCTTAGGCAACAATGTGACACTCCTATATAAGGGGTGATATATGATCATTTACATGCTACACACTTTTAAATACATAGACTTATCCAAAATTTATATTGTCTCTATCACTATATACTAACTTAAGCATCAGATTCTTTGACGGGACAATCCCCGACATTATTTTGCATGTCATTCACCGACTCGTGGACGAATCTAAGGCCGTTCAACCGGGGCGAGGTCGTTTGCACTACCATTTGACGCCGTCTGTGAGACTTCATTCGAATTGTCTTTAAACACCACTATTCATGGCGAGTGATGATCCCAAGAGAAACTTGGAGCCCAGCTTCGATGATGCGTGGGTCTCTGGCCGTCCGATTGGAACATGCCCACTATCGGAATTTTCGAGGTCGATCTTGACGTCGATAACCCCGATTCCATATTTTTAATTTATAAATATTATTTAATAATTATTTTTAATTTATAAAATATTAGTACATATCTGCTACCCGTGCATCGCACGAGATTCGTACTAGTTAAGATCTAATGCAACATTTATAAAACACTCAATAACACAAAATAAATTCGAGATAATCAAGTCAAAAATATGCTAGGCGATTAAATCATAAATAATTTCAAGTATTAACTTGTTCATATGCATATACTAAAATAAATAATGGTCGTTCAACAGAGTATCTCCCAATCTTTTCTTCCTTCCTCTGCCCCACTGTGAGTTCTTTCGCTCTCCCAAAATTAATGTGAGCCACCCCTAATCCCCATCAGCAGTCGCCCTTGTTTTTTTCCTTCGTTAATGACATTTTGGGCCTCCCCTTTAATTCCTTGGACTCGTACACATCGTAGGTGATATATGATCATTTACACGCTACACACTTTTAAATATATAGACTTATACAAAACTTATATTGTTCTACTTCTCTATCACTATATACTAACTTAAGCATCGGATTCTTTGCCGGGACAATCCACGACATTATTTTGCATGTCATTCACCGACTCGTGGACGAATCCAAGGCCGTTTAATCGGGTCCAGGTTGTTTGCACTACCATTTGACGCTGTCTGTGGGACTTCATTCGAATTGCTTTTAAACACCACTATTCATGGCGAGTGATGATCCCAAGAGAAACTTGGAGCCCAGCTTCGATGATGCGTGGGTCTCTGGCCGTCCGATTGGAACATGCCCACCACCGGGATTTTAGAGGTAGATCTTGACATCGATAACCCCGATTCTCAACCCATCGGGTTTGGAAGTTCTTCGACATCCTCAGCAACAGTCGGGGGTCTGATTGTCTAACGAGTAGGCAGATAAGGCGTACGTGGAGATCATTCCAGTACCCCAATACAGCTCGATCCGCAACAGGTTAGTTGGGGTGGACCGTTGGCAGCAAGAGGCGTGCAGACAACTCAACAGACAATGACTTTTATGAGAGACGAGCTCAATAAGATGATTGCAAAGGTGGTTGCAACCAGGTTTGCCCAACCACCACCACAAATGTCGAGTGCAGTAAACCTTAATTAATGCACCGATAAGGACAAAGGAGGTCAAGATTTCCAGCAGTGCAGCTTTCAAAGCCCAGCGCGACCTATCAGTGGAAAATATAGCGGCTCAGATTCGAGAGTTGCATGCAAACTGGAGGGAAAGCGAACAGGGAAATCTCGAGGGCACCCTTTTCATGTAGCACTTAGAATAGCTTGGCAGTTTGGGTTGAGCAGTCAGCTCGGGTGGGCCAGTCTAGGAGAGCTCCAGTCTGTCCAAAAGTTTGTAATCCAGTCAAGGAACTTGTATTCGAGCTCAAGGTACTAGCCGACTTGAAGAAGACGACCTAGAGGCATCGACCTCCCAGAGCTCGGCAAGAAAGCTGACCTTAAGGTAATGAGGTCGTAAGACATGACGTTATGTTCAAACTCAGGAGGAGGTCAGGCTCGACCTCAGTTAAGTCACAGCAAGCAAGTCAAAAGGTCGTGGTTACGCATGGGGATATAATGACTGCATGATAAGGGGAAAAGAATCCTAGTAAGAGGGAAAATATCACTTGCTTAAGATAATTGCTTAGATAACGACGTGGTAAGTTAAAAAATGTGATCTGGTGGGATAAGTTAGGAAATGTGATCTGGTGGGATTTCATTCCTAACAAGAACTCTCTTGGGCATCAAGACATTTATCCTATATAAGGATGCTAGGCTCTACTTCATTAATATATATATCACATATTTATGCCTTAAGTCTTATTTTCTCAGATATTCTCGTTGAGCAAGTTCTTACTTGAGCGTTGGAGGTTTTTTATTGGGACTCCCTCATAATATTGTAAGACACCAAAGCTCAAATGAGAGGGAAGTTCGTGGAATAGGCGGTTAAACCCAGTTCGAGATCAAAATGACAGAACACTTTTTGCCCATGAGATATTGGATGTTGACTACCAACTGGTTTAGAGAGCTCAGTATTACATAAAATAGGTCCACTGACTCATCCCGTTGTTTGTTGTGTTTTTATCGTGTTTTCATGTATTTTCCGTGCTTAAGTCGAGTCTCTTTAGGTTCGTTTTAGTGTCGACCGGTCTATTTATCATATTTTGTGATTTTTATTCTCGTTGATTGTTTTGTATTTGTGCCGTATTTTAACGTCCATTTTTATGTTGATGAGGTCCACATTGCAATGTTTTGGAAGACGAGTCATTTTTGTTCGAACCATGAGCGGACCATTGTCAAGCCGTCCGAGCCATCCCGGGCCATTTTACAGTCAAGACCCGCGAGAACACCAGCCAGCCCGCACCGCACGTCTCACGCCTGCGTCCGCGTCCCTGTACGCTTGCGCGCCCGTGCGCAGTCGTCAGTTTTGCGGGCGCGAATCACTTCACCTGGGTCGCGAGTTCAGCGCCACAACACTTGCCAATCTTTTGCGGGCGCGATAGACTTCGCCCAGGTCGCGAGTGCCCAGCCGCGCACTCGCTGTGAGTTCTTTCTCGCGACCGCGCGAGCCACGCACCCCCAGCACAAGCACTCGCTGCGGGACTCCCTTCGCGAGTGCGCGAGACACACCAAGCTGCCAGCACTCGCTGCGAACCCGAGTTCGCTTGCCCGTGACCAGCTCTCTACACTACACACTCGCTGCGAACTGTGTTTCGAGACTCGAGAAACTGCAAAATGCAATAAATGTGTGTGTTTTAGTGTGTGTTTTGGGGCCTAGTATAAATATGTTTCTTCTCTTTGTAATTAAGGAGCTAGATTTCATTTTTCACTTTTTTCCCTTTGGGAAAGATTCTCTCCTTTTATTTTTCTCTCTATTTTAGTTGGAACTCTATGATTCGGATTTTCCGGCGACTTTCTTTTTATGCAAGTTTCGAGCTTTTCACTCCGGTTTTTTTCTAGCACGCAATAGGAGAGTGGGTACTTACCATTAAGCCTCATTAATCCGTAATTGTCCCGTTTTTTCTTATGATGCTTTTCAAAGTAAATGTGGTGTATTGCTTGTTGAATGGAGGAAAGTTTGAGCTTTTTATTTTCATTGCTTGCCTAAGTGATTAGAGGAGTTAAATACTTGCTTATCTTAGTTTAAAGATTGAGAGTTTGATTAATGCTCAATGATTTAGTGTTAGAAAGCTTGTGTTAATTACCTAGGATCTTAGTTCTTGCATATTTCTTTTCATTTGTGTGTGTTTTTCTCAAGTTATAGTGACTCAGGTAAACCGAAATTCCTATCTATTCTCTAAAGCTTGCATTTTTAATTCATTGCTCTCGATCCTTAGTTACAATTAGTTTTATATTATCTCTCAATCATCTTGATAGAATGTTTAGGCCTTTATTTGCTCCTTTTGTGATCTTGGACGACTATTGAGCAAGCGAAGCTCCGAACTGTCTTCCTTGAGAGACGACCCGAGGTTCGAATAATTCGATTATCAACTATTCTCACTAAAACTACTCAACAAACGGCGTCGTTGCCGGGAAGGCAAGTAGGACACCTAGTTTGCTATTTAGTTGTCCCATTTTCATGTATTTCTCTTGCTTTTGTGATATTTGATTAATTTTCGTATTTATCTTGTTTTCTCTTGCTTTTGGTAGTTAGATTGTGTTTGTTTATTTTGTATTGATCTTGTTTTTCATTGGCGCGTTTACGGGTATAGTGTATTATTTGTGTTTATGCGAGGTAGACGAGGACGTGGAACTCGAGAAGAGACACGACTAATCGATCTATACGTGGAGCTTAACATAGACGAGCCACAACCCGAGCCAATGGTGAATCAAGAGGAGCAACTACCACCACCGCCTCCGAACATGGAGTACTTTGCTCGACCCATAATTGGTGACAACACCTCATGCCTCGTGCTCGGAGAGGCGGCTCGAAATTATGATCTCAAGACAATCCATCTCAGCGAACTCCCTTCGTTTTATGGCCTCCCACAAGAGGACGTGCTTAATTTCATCGTGGAATTCTATTCTGCGGTCAATACCTTTCCTCTACAAGGCCTTATCGAGAATCAACTCCGGATGCGTTGTTTCCCATACAGTTTGAAGGATCGAGCTAAGTTGTTGTTTCCCATACAGTTCTATTGGAATACTATCCATGACGCCTTTTTGCAGCAATATTTTTTATTCTAACTCATCAGAAAAGCGTAATATTGTTTTCTTTCTTCCTTTCTTATGCAGCCCTAACCCCTATGCCCAAATATTAATTTCCAAAAGACTATAATGGCAAATTAAGGAAAAGCAATACATAACACTCAAATCAAACTATTGTATAAGTAAACAATAATTAAACAAGGAAGCACATAAAGAAACACACACTTAATAATACGTAGGTGCAATGGATATAAAAAACCTTATTTTATGATTGTGTCTGACCAAAACTCTCATTACAAAGGAAATTTTTAACTTTAAAGCCTATAAAATTTCCCCTAAGAGAAACTTCATAGGGTACAGGAGAAACTTCAATAGGCGTTTGGGGCTGCAGCTTCAGGACCGGGTGCGTCGGCAAGGAGAACTTTAGCTTTGGATGGATCGTTAATAGTTGGTGTGGAGGTTGCGGCTTCAGGTGTGTCGGCAGGGATATCTTTAGGTTCTGATAGTTCGTTAGTCTCTGGTGAGCAGGCTACGGCTTCGGGTGCGTTGGCAACGAGAACTTTAGCTTCTGACATATCATTAGTAGTTGGTGCATGTGTGTTGGTAATGTGATCTTTAGCTTGTGATAGACTAGTTGGTGCGTAAGCAAGTCCACTCTCCGAGTTGAATTTTTTCTCCTTCATTCTACGACGTGCGCCCGAGCGGTGCCTTTCGCATACTTTGGGGATGTACACACCTTTTTTACATGATAAATTATAAGTGTTAGCCAAAACGATTAATAACATTTTTTTTTTTTTTTTTTTTTTTTTTTTTTTTTTTTTTTATGAATCAATCAAGGATGATGAATTGATTATTCACCTAGCAACAATTTGGTGTACTTATGTAATAGTGCTCACAATGTCCAATTTATTCAATAATATAATGAATCCCACATCATGTGAATGTACTATGAACACCAAATAATGTACATCAAGCCTCAAGTCAAGATGTAACTTAATTGGATCAAATTAATATTACCTTCACCGGCTGCGACGTTGAAGTAGACATCCACTATGTTGTGGCATTTGTCGTAGCACGACGCGGAGCATAACTTGTTGATGAAGTTGTGGTTGAGTAGGGAGTCGGAGGAGATGCCAAGGGCCCGCTTGTCGACCCCACAGGCAGTTATGCACTCCTCGGACTCGATGTAGTTGACGAGCCTGTCGGAAGCCGTGATGTCGGACGTGCGGCACGTGTACCTATTCGGAGTCCCAAGCGTGCGCAGGAAGCTCCGGCTCTCGAGCACGCACCGTTTTCCCGTGGATGAGACTGCGAACGCGCATGAGTTCTCGTTCAGGTCCTCACACCGGATCTCGCCTGCATTGTTATTAAAACATTGTTTGTTGTTATGCATACAAATGTGACAAAACGTGATGTATGAAATGTGATAGATAAGTTTGTTACCTAGAGTGCCTTGGATGGAGATGGCTAAGGCAAGAGCTATGGCAAAAAGTGATGTTGGTGCCATCGCTATTGAGATGCAAATTGGTCTTGGTATTTGCTTCACTTTTGGTGTGTTGAAAGAGTTTGTGCCTTGAGTAGTCTATGGTGAGGCATGCTATTTATAGAAGGTGTTGAGGATATGGAAACCTATGTAAGTTTAACTGTGTGAAAGCTACAGTAACCTACTTTTCATTGAAGCTGTGGGCAAAGTTGATTTACCTTTGAATCTTGGGACACTGATGAAATTTTATTTCTCTACGGAGAGAATTTTAGGATATGGAACGTAATTACCTTTGGGAGCTAGTCTCAAAAATAGATACAGTCAAACAACATTTTTGTTTTTGATCTTGACCACTTTTTTTTTTTTCTAAAAGAAAAATCAAATTGCTCGTGATAATCACATTTTGTTTGTCGAGTCTAAATTGATTTAGTTGTGCGGTGGTAGGTAGCCATTTGAAATAAATTTTGAGGGCATAAAATGCTTATTTTAAAAAAAACTCAATAAGAACATTTTGGAATTTTGGAATAGATGATTGTAATATTAATTATATTTGAACAGTTCTGCTATGGAGCCATTGGATGGCTCGGCTTATGAAGTCATCCACACTTATTCACCAATAGTGTACTGACACTTGTCCTGTAATAAATACACTTTGGACAGGTGTCAATCCATTAAGTGGTGGACGACTTCATAAGAAAACCATCCGATAACTCTATAGAATTTTTGGGTAACTTAATATGTTATCTACACTCAGTTAATTCAGTCAATAATCAGCTAAAATCATAGTCAGAGCTGCTAATTCAATTCATTCTATTATCCATTATCAGCTAATTAAATCTCCTACCAATATCAAACAATTTTTTGCCCAATGTATATTAATATTGTTATAATCAACTAGTACGTACCCCGTGCGATGCACGGGAGAGAGATATTAAATGAATTATTTTCACAGGCTCTGTCCGTTTAAGTCTGAGAAGGGTTATCATCCATTTTCCACCTCTTTTAATCACCGTTAAGTCTAAAAAAATAGGGTTGTAATCTATTTTTCACATCTTATAATCAGCGTTGTTTTATTAGTCATAACATTCAACGTGAGCATGTTAGGGCTAACTTGTAAAATAATTAATATATTATCTCACTAACACATTTCTACTAATATAAATTTAATTATATTATATATATTTATTCCTTGATATAAGAAAAATAACAATTTTATTTATTCTTGTTCACTATATAATAGTTAATTACTATTTTACTATAAACTCTATTGCCATATAATGTCATTATTATTTATAAAGTTATAGAAGTTGCACATCTTCTTGTTCTTTTTATTTTATGTAATGAAATATATTTAATGTACATTGCTATTATTTATATAAGTAATCAATTTAAAATATGTAAATAAATTTAAAATTGAATAGTGTATAAATAATGTACAAAATATACACATATATTGTTTTATAATTTAATATTGTATACTAATTAAACAACTTTGATTTAAGAAAAGTCATGAACTCAATCTCTTCTAATATCAATATTTTTTTAATTTGCATTATAATGATTATTCTTATTATATATATAGATTGGAATTTTTGCGACACCAACAAAACTAAATATCACAACAACCAAGTAACAATTATGAAAAACTCATAACACAACAACTATCAATTAAATTTGGTAATAGAAAAATTACATATATATATATATAAATATATGAGAATTTTATATTTCTATTAACTGATGTAAATAACACGTGTATATTTTGTTAAGGTATATTAGAATGTTCAATTTCATAGCATGATAACAATCAGTCTTAAAAAATCGAAAATCTTATTGAAATGTCATATTTTTCTATTAAAAAAAAGTTCCCATAAAAAATAATTATATCATAGCAAATTCATTGTATAATTGAACAAATTTCTATAATGAAGCCCGATTTTCTGTACAAAAATAAAGCAACAACTTCCACATTTTAAGGAAATCAATTAATGTTGGTCCCTTTTTGCTAACAAAATAACAAATAAATAAATTGTAATTAATGAAAAATAATTAATGATGAGAGAATTTGACCATATAGTTGACCTGCCATTTTTTAAAAATAGTAATTCTTATTATATATACTAGTGTGTACCCCGTGCGATGCACGGGAACAATATTAAATTAACAATATTATAAATAGACCTCGAGTTTGAGTCAATGGCGGAAGTGAAAATTACTATTGATCGTATTTAAAAAGAGGAAGAAAAAAAAATAATTATAAATAAAAGAGGAGGATAAACAATACTTAATAATTATAAATTAAAGATTCGGGGTCAAACAATGTAAAATGATTTTGTATAAGAGAATATAAAAAAAATTGATTACACACCATTTCAAAATTATTATTATACTTTTTCGTATGGTTAGCTTAGAATATTTGTAAAAATAATAGTAATTAGACCGATGAAAATTAGCTTCTTAAAGTAGATAATAGATTTTAGTAGTAATTATGAATTAGTTTCTATTTTATTTTATTTTTTCTTTTTAAAGATAATGAATTTCTAGTAGTAATTATGAATTGATTTCTATTTTATTTTATTTTTTCAAATCTGTATAGATAAGAGATGAGATTTTTTAAACACCTAAGATCGTATGAAATGAGATTTTGTAACATAAGAGATAAGCTCGTGTAGATTTATACTAAAAATAGGAAAAAAAAAACAAATATTTATTATTAAAACGATAAACTAAGAAACAGGAAAAAGAGAAACAAATCTTTAAACAATTAATGAGCAGATTTTTTTGCCTATTCAGATTTGTCCAACAATTACTATATATAGGATATAGTAATGATTTTGGCGGGAAAAAGTTTCTAAATTTGTAAAAAAAATTATTCTTTTTATATAATGATAGATATAGATAAATAAATCAATTAAATAAAATATTAATACCGAAATAGTAATGACATTTAATGTAGTTAACTTTTCTGGATATTAAATATAGTAAATAGGATTCCCTTTTATATAAATATAGATTTTATTTTGCCATGCAGTCAAATGTGATTATTCGAATGCAACTTATGATACCGATTAGAATTCATTACATTGGAATTTAGAATAGTAAGAAAAATTTAACTAAACCCTTGGTACAAAATTTATTTTTCTTCAACCTACATTCGGTAAAAGATTGGGCAAATCAAGTGTTGATTTAAGGCTTAACCTATTTTTGACAAAAATATGATTATGTTTGAAACATATCATTTTCTAAAAGTAAAAATAAAAAATAAAAAAATACACTATCTGCTAGCCCTAATTTTGTCTTTGGTTCTTCAATCGTGAATGACTTTAAGCATTTTATTTTTGTTCTAAAATTCTAGTGTTCACAAATAACAACTCACTCAGTCGTATTCGTGGTGACTAAAAGAATGTGAAAAAATTTTAATGCAAATATATTCTAATGGAATTCTAACAAAATTCCGATACTATTGTTTTCGTTGGAATTTTCCCATAGATTCCAACAGAGATTCCAACAAAAATATTCCGTTGGAATTAATTTTTTATTGGATTTTGACTGTTTCAACGGTACATTTTTCAACAGTCGAAATATGGGTGAAAACGAAAATTCCAATGCAAATTGTATATTTCAACGAAAATTCCTATAGTAAAAAATCGTTGGAATAATGGCCGTTGTAAATGATAAAATTTCATTTAAGTTTCAATGAAAAACTCATTCCAACGGAATAATTCTGTAGGAATTTTCGTTGGAATTATTCCAACGGATGCTATACCATTAAAATTTTTATTGGAATACATTACAATATAATTTTCCGTTAGAATATGACATCTTTTTTGTAGTGTATTTAATTACATTACGCCATCGTATTATTTATTATGCCTGTCTTTAATTTTATTTTTACCATCACGAATTAGGACTTTCAGTTTGGACTCTTCTTTAATAATTATTTTAAATTCCAATTTATCATTACTTGTATTTGAGACTAAAAACGTGCGGAATTAGAGAAGGTGCTTAATTGACCTTGATTGGTGGGTTTTNGGTAAAAGAATGTGATAAAATTTCAACGCAAATATATTCTAATAGAATTTTAACGGAAATTTCAATGCTATTGTTTCCGTTTAAATTTTTCAATGAATTCCAATGAAGATTCGAACAAAAATATTCCGTTGGAATGAGTTTTCCATTGGAATTTCCGTTGGATTTTGACTATTCCAATGGTACATTTTTCAACGGCCGAAATATCGGTGAAAATGAAAATTCTAAAAGAAATTATATATTCTAACAAAATTCCTACAGTAAAAAACCGTTGGAATAATGAACGTTGGAATGATAAAATTTCATTTAAGTTTCAATAAAAAACTCATTCCAACTGTAGGAATTTTCATTGAAATCATTCCAACGTAAGCCATACCATTAGATTTTCATTTGGAATATATTATCGTAGAATTTTCCGTTCGAATATGACATTTTTTTTAGGGTATTGAATTACATTAAGCCATCGTATTATTATTTATTATGCCTGTCTTTAATTTTATTTTTACTATCACGAATTAGGACTTTCAGTTTGGACTCTTCTTAATAATTATTTTAAATTCCAATTTATCATTACTTGTATTTGAGACTAAAATCGTGCGAAATTAGAGAAGGTGCTTAATTGACCTTGATTGGTGGGGGTTTTTCATATATCAAATCATTATTG